TAAAAAGGCCTGGGCCAGGAAGAAGGGGAGCCATTAGCCATGCGGTCATCCAGGTGAATCTGAACCTGGCTCTCTCCTCATCACCGCGTGCTCCAAGAGTGCCCTGCCTCCAGAGGAAACTCCAACCACCTCTGGACGATGCGAGTGAGTAAGCTACTCGAGATCTGATTAGATATTTAGCTTCAGTAACTCAGATGCGTGTTTAAACGGCTACCTCAGCCACCCTGGTTTGCTCTATGGGATTCCTCTGATATTCCTGTAATATTTCTATGATATTGCTCTACCTTTTACCCTGTTTCCGCCCTACCCCTGTAATCAATAAAGTTCTCCTTTGAGACTGGTGTGGAGACTTATTGAGGGGTGGGTCTAAATTATGCCAAGGAGGCCCCTTAGGTCTGTGGACTAAGGGAGGCATCCTAATAAGCCTCTGACTTGGGGAAGTGCCCCAAGTGCTTGTATTGGGTCTAGTACCTATTGGACGATCAGGCCTGTGTTTTCCAAGGTGCGCAGAGCCAGAAGTGAGTCCAGAGCCTTGGATGGTGGCAGCGGGAACCCCAGGCTAGCGGGTGTGCTCCAGGGAAGGGGTCGGCCGGACAGGAGGCACCCTAAGGGAGGCACTCGGAGCCTGGAAGGTGGTCGGGCGCAGGGAGGTGGGCGGCTCAATGCAGGAGCGCCCCCTACTGGCCCGCCACACCCTTCTCCCAAGACTGCCACAGTTTTTACTTGAGGCAAGAGCTGTCAGAATAGGTGGGCAGCTGACCCTCTCATTCCTCACTCACTCGCAGCTGCCCTATCTTTATGGATACAGGAAAGGAAACATTTCCCAAAGCTGGAATAAGACACAACTTGAGCTGTACTCTGCCACATCCCCTGAGTCTGCTGGATCAGACAGGGCTTGAGGAGGGTGCCATACCTCTCCCTTCACAGAGCAGATGTACACTTTAACGTCATGGAGACAGACATGTGACTCAAGCAGCTTGAATTTCCTATTTCTCAAGTGTTGCAGACCCTCTGACCAACCACATGGATGCATGGCTTCTACCCTGGAAAGGGAAGAAGTATTTCTCTTTTCAGTGTTACCCTGGGCTATTTCTGATTAAACAGTTCCAAGAACTGGGGCTCATCAAAAGAAAGAAATTGAGGCTGTCCTTTGTGCCCCACCTCCTTTCACCTACCAGGGAGGGCAGGGTAGAAGAAGCGGAAGAAGAAAGAAGGAAAATGGGAGTAGTGGTTACAGGAGGAATGAGAGAAGGAGTTGGTGTTCCCTCCCTGTCTGTCCCCTCTTCAACCCAGGGCCCTGCTGGATCCTGTCAAAATATCATTTGTGGGTTCATTAGGACAGGGATGCCTCTTGACTCCAGGTCTGTGAAACACCGTTGCCATGGACTCCCATTGATTTCAATTGGCTTTGGACCATCTCCTTAAGAATAATAATTAATTTGGTGGTTCAGAAGAGATAGGAAAAAACCTGGAGGGAAGAGAAGAGAGGATCAGAAAAGTAGGATAATCCATCTAAGGATGCCACCGGGTTTCAGAATCCAATTTCCCAGATCTCTCAGTTAGTCACCAGCAAGTAGACTCTTGGACAGGGCTATGAAGACCTGGCTGGGCATACTGAAACCTGGGGGATGAGTTATTAGAGTCAAGATGGGCATCAAAGTGCCAGTCTGCCTTTCCCCCCAAACACAGAAAACATAAAGTGATTCTGATCCAGTGTTATCCCTTGTCCCACTGCCATCTAGCAATGGCCAATCCCATGGTTATGTGTATGTTTTTTTATGGGGACTGCGACACTGTAGTGGAAATGGCAGGAACACCTGGGGAGGGAGGAGAAGCCTATGTGAACAGGCAGTGGGAGGTGTGGAGAAAGGGCTTCAAGCACCAGTGTATAAGGCAGCTTGTGAACAGAGAAGGGTATAGACCAGTTTGTAGTCGGAGCCAGACTTCTTTTACATTTCCCTGTAGGACAGATGGTGTTTTCTATATCCAAGTCTCCCAAAGGGGTGAAGCCTGCTGAAATCTCAGCATGGTGCCCTGTTCCTTACATAAATGCAGACAGTGATAGGAAAAGGCCATGATGTGTATAATAAACTAATTTATTCAGTGCAGCCTCATGTTAATCACCTATATCTGAGAGCTATGGAGAGAGCTATGGGCCCTTGAGTAATGCTGGCAAGAGTTTACTCATATGAATGAGAGGGCTGTAACATTTTCTAACCACCAAGTTCTGCTCACTGCTGGCCTACATATTTGCAGGGTCATGTTACAATTGCACTAATTTTTATCCTTCCTTTGGCTTCCTGCTGCTGTTGAACCCACAACCAAGGCTTGCTGTGCCTTGAAGTACATGCAGTTTTAGAATAGGGTGGTGCCCACCTCAATGTTTGTATGGTGCCTACTTAGCAAAAGGGGATCCTGTTGGGCACTACAACAATAAAAATAAGGTGACAAGGAGTGGTCTTCTGAGGACCAAGACGGCCAACATGGAGGAGGAAATCCCCAAAAGCTTCAGAAATAAGGACTTGGACCCTCTGGCTTGGTGTTGGCTTGTTAATGTGCCAGAATGACATTATTCTACACTTCCGTAGGGGTCTGTTTGCTGTACTAAGCAGGTCTTATTTAATAACCAAGCAATGGAAAGTTCTCCTTTTGACTTTATGGGGTCAAACCCCCAGACATGGTCTGGGATACAAAAAAAACAGAGTGGCTGAAAACACAGTTAGTTTATACACATCCAAGAATCTAAGTATGTAGGCTGAGCTAACGCATGGGGGTTACAGAATCTCTTTCTAATGCCTTCATAGAGAAAGCAAAAACCCATCAGAATGGTCTTCTCTCTCCATGCCTTCATTCCCAAGGTGGAACTAGCAAGAATTGTAATGGGTCAGGAATGAGTTAGGATATAAACACTAACACAACTTTCATCTATGCTCTAGTCAGCCAGAGGCAGTGCCAACAGCTTCTTGTTTTCGGGAGAACTTAATTCACTTTCCACACATCCGTCAAGTTGAAAATGTTCTGTTTATAACAAGTTACAAGATCCAAAAGAATGAATCACACTGCACAACAGCAAACAGAGAGCATCCAGTTAGTACAATAGAGAAAACTACAATCTCTCACACATACACACACTGCACTTCATCTTCCTCCCCTCATTAGCTGTGACATACAGTGCAGCAAAGTCAGACCCGGCAGTCAAAACTTCTACCTGGCAGGTGACACATCAAAATCAAAATGATTTTTCAAAGTCTGATCACTGCTTTAAGCCAAACTTTTTGTTTGTTGCGCGGGATGGGGGGTTGCTTGCTTGTTTGTTGGGGGGGGGTTGGTTTTTTCCTTGTTTTTTTCCTTCTTTTTTTTTCAGGGTTTTTGTGGGGGTTTGGTGTTTGTTTGTTTTTTTGCTTCCAAAGCTTCAGAGCTTCACTTGCAATAAAGGAATTGGAGACATAGCTTATACCTTACAGATCAAACTGAGAAATGGATACAGACACTTCAAAACAACTTTACAAGAGGAACATCTTGGACAGCCCCCTGTGTGAATGCAGTGTCCAACAAACAGCACAGCATTTCATCAAACTCTGCAGTCTTAAAAAATGCCCAGATGAGGCATATGGAATCCATCCATTGAGCAATACCAGACAGTGGCTCATAAATTTGGAAATTGATATCTGATACCATATGAAAAAGAGATCACTAAAGCAGCGAGTTGAGGTGCATTACAATCATTTAAGAACAGCCAATGCCTGGAAAAGCAGGAAATCATCCGGTATTTTAGCAAACACAACTACAAGGGATCATGAAGTCCAGGCTTGTTCAGCTGTACAACCTATCCCCCGTATAGTTCTTCCAATAATTATGTACATCTCTCTGGTCTAAT